TTTCCTGCTGAGTGGTTTTATGGCAGTGGGCAAATATAAAAGGCCGTAGAAAATGTGATTAGAAGCTTCTTTCCAAGGCCACTGTGTTTTTTAACTTTTTTTATTTTATTTTACAGTTCCTACCCAAACACAAGGAAGACACTGCCCAGGAACGTTTCTTTGGAGGTTTCTGCTGATTGGACTGATTTTGTTCGCAGAAAGCCCAAGCATCTTGCATTCAGACATCCAACTGTCAGACATGGCTAGCATCCTTGCTCGGATGGGTAACAGCCGAAGGCAGAATCCAGCTTTTCTGCCTTTGGCCCATTCCATGCTGAGGGCCCTGGGGAGGAGTCTTGGTCCTTTGATAGCCAACATTGCAGATAGAAACATGAAGTTGTTCTCTGGGAGGGCAGAGCTGGCCCAGGGGGAAGAAACCTTTGAGAATTGGCTAAGCCAAGTCCAGGAGGTCCTACCAGACTGGCACATGTCTGAGGAGGAAAAGGTCAGACGCCTGATGAGAACCCTTAGGGGCCCTGCCCGGGAGGTCATGCGTTTGCTCCAGGCTGCCAATCCCAATCTAAATGTGGCAGAATTTCTGAGGGCAATGAAACTGGTCTTTGGGGAGTCTGAGAGCAGTGTGACAGTACATGGTAAATTTTTAAACACGCTGCAGGCACATGGAGAGAAACCTTCCCTGTATATGATCCGTTTAGAGGTGCAGCTGCAGAATGCTATCCAGGCAGGGGTCCTTGCTGAGAGAGAGGCAAACAGGATTCGCATGCACCAGCTCCTTGTAGGGGCTGAGCTCAGTAGGGACCTGCGCATCAAGCTTAAGGGCCTTCTCCAAATGCATGCATATGATGAGCAGGAAAGCCTTCCTGACTTTCTGGAGTTAATCAGGATGGTAAGGGAGGAAGAAGAGTGGGATGACACTTTTCTTCAACATAAGCGGCCCAGAAGATCTGAGACAATAATGGAGAGGGCCGCCAGCCCTGTAGTATTTCAGGGCTCCCTGCCTATAGTGATCGGCAGCAATGACTGCAATGTAATAGAGATAGATGATTCCCAGGATGACTCAGATGAAGATGTAATCCTGGTGGAACCTGAGGACCCCCCACTGCCATCCCCAAGTGCCGCATCCCTCAGAGGCAGAGCCATTACACAGGATGAAATGATAACTATTGAAGGAAAAGACAATTTTGATGATGAGTCTCCTTCCACTAGCAGTGGTTCTGGGCAAAGGAATAATGGGCCTGGGGATCTTCGTAGCACCAGAAAGCGAAAGTACCCAATCCGCTGCCCCCACTGTGGTGAGGAGGGCCATGCAAAAGAAACCTGTGACAACACGAGCAACAAGGGCCAGGTTTTTGAGAATCTGATAGTCACTCTGCAGGAGCTGACTCATATGGAGAGATCAAAGCCCTCTGCACCATACTAAGCTGTGAGGCTCAGCCCCAGATCAATGTGTAACCCTCTCCAGAAGCTGTTTCTGGAGGAAATGAGGATGGGGTGGGCTTCGGAAGGAATTCATTTAAAAACCATTCTTCTTTGGGAAAGAAAAGGCAGACTTGTATACCACATAAAGGAGAGGGATGCCCCCCACATCATTCCTTGCTTATTCCCTCTGACTGCTTAATGGTTGTTCCTCTGTGTGTCTTTCTCTGGTGATTTAAATCTGTTCATGAAGTGGTATCTCTTTGAACCTTCCAAATGAAATTAAAAAAAAAACCCTCAGTATGCATTACCTGAAATTCTCACCCTGATGCAATCATTGTCAGCCCTTTGGTGAATGTTCTTCTGCATATTTCCCTGTACCTGTGTGCCTAGATATGTATGTAGAGATAAAAGTGATCCAATATAAGTGCTGTTCTATATGTATTTTTTCATCAAGCAGTATATATTGTGGACTCCTAAATAAATAAATATATAAGCATCTAATTTAATGTCATGCGTACTATCTCCGGGGAAGATAAAAACTGAAACTAATTGTTAACAGCTATAGTAGGGGTGTTTTATTTAAAGGAAAGAAGGGGACTTGAGATGAGCTAAATAGCTCTTCAAAGCCTCTTATAACTGGCCTGCCTCCTAGTTCATAGAGCCATCTGCACCAAATAGTTAAATGTGTCAATGGCCTCAAATGTGTCTTGTGAAATTTGACCATGGGCCAAGGAGGTGTCGTCCCTGTTTCTGCCTCACCTTTTGGCCTGAGATCAGAGTCTGAAGATGACCTCTGATATCTGTCTTTGAGCACCTCCCTTATGGGTACATTAGCCTTTGTACTAAGGAGACTAATGGAGAATGATTTCATACAAGGCTGACAGCAGAGTGGAATGAATGCTGATCCAAGGATCTGAAGCATCTGGAAAAGATTTATTTTTATTTTAAGTATATGACATTTTGCCTACATGTATTATGAACATAGAGAGGCCAGAAGAGGGTGTCCGATCGCCTGGAACTGGAGTCTCTAAGGGGTAGGTACTAGAAACTAAATCTAGGTCTTTAAGGGCATAAAGTGCTCTTAACTGCTGAGATATCTCTGCAGCCTAGACCTGAATCATTTTACCCTAACATAATAGGGTTTGTACAGGTCCTAGACAAAGTGTGCAGCAGTGGCAGCTGGCACATCAGGGAAAGGAAGCATACATCTGGCCAGGTAGAAACAAGGATGAAGAGAGTACATACTGATCAGGATAGAAGGCAGGCAGAAACAGGAAGTCTAGCAACAATTGTAGACAGCAAGTTTCACACAGAAGCCAGGACACTGTGGTCTGTGGTTGAGACTCTGGTTATGCTAGTAGGCTATACGGCCCACTCGATAGGGACAATGGGAGTTCAGGCTGAGGCCCTGAGTGAGGAGGAGTAGAAGACAGGTGCCACATGCGACCTATGCAGGCTTCTCTGGGATGCTGCACTCACAACTTGCCTTAGAGTGCTTCTGCTAGAGTCACCACTTGGCTTCTGCTCGGGCCTGGCCTCTGGTCCTCTGCCATCCCTACCATACCATTTGCACCCCCTTTGCTGAAGCCAAGCTCATTTCATGGAGGTGGGGGTTACCTTTTATGCTCTGCCCATTACCACCTCCCTGCTCCCAGCACTTCATGTTAGCCTAAAGCCTCTGCCTCCTTAACCTTCTAGAGCAGGAGAGTAGAAGGGCTTGTGTTCCTGGGATCCTTTGGCTGAGGACTTGCCAGAGACAAAGGTTCAAGGGGCCCATTTATTACATTCTCCTGGAATAATTCTGGGCTTCTCGCATTCACTTCTACATCTCAGAAGCTAAAGGGTGCCCTCTGCTGCCTCTTCCTGCATAAGTCGCTCAGGCCTCCAAAGCTACAGGAGCCTCAACCCTCTTTCAGGTTTATAGCTTTTTCCTCTTCTCTATCACTCTCAAATCTATCCTGGATCCCAGATTTTAAGATCATTTCTGCTTTAGCTGCTCACCTTTTCTCAGTCTTATGCTATGTTTTTAGGTGAGTTCCTCAGGTTTAAACTTCATGCAGCCATCGTTTTGCTCAGAAAGTAGCCACCATTCCTGTCCTTTTCATTGTAGTTGCCTGGGAGATTCAGTATAGATCACTGATTTGAAAACCTACTCTAACGCATTTTCTTGTCTTCCTTCTCCATCTTTTTAAATACACAAACCTGAAAGTGTGTGCATTTTCATTTCACCAAAAATGATGCAAAGCTGATAATTTCAATTTCACTTCATTTCACACTGAATTTTCCTTTATTCCAGAAATATGTCCCTATACAAAAACTACACACAAAAACAGAACTAATGAAAACTGTATCATCTTTGATATCTGCCCTTAGTCACTAGAGCTTAGCAAGCAATAGCCTTAAAGGTTTTTAAAATATTTCAATTTGGGGAATATTTTCAGGCTGACAAAAGAAGTTGCAAGGGCAGCTTTGAACAGCAGCAAAGGTAGATGTAAGATAAATGCACACTAATTAATATACAGGGAAGATCTCTAAAATGTTGGGAAGAAATCAATCCCTAATCCTAACAAGTATATAACAAGTGTCATCTTTTCTCTGCAAGTACACTTTAAAATTGGGTAGTGGGGTACCTGTCACCATGATCCAACAATCTCAGCTACCCCAGAGGCTGAGTCGGTAAAGTAGGCTACCTTATACCCAGGAGTTCCAGACCAGCCATGACATCATCACAGGAAATAGAAGAAAATTTAAAAACTCAGGTAACCAATTTGGATGTCAGGCAGGCAAAGAATTGAGCCCCCACATCCTCTCTTTACTCACAACTGCCTTTTGACAAAGGCTGATAAATGAGAGAAACATGTTGCACTGTTGCTGCCCATAAAGATGGCTGCACCCCATCTTGGCTCAAGAGCAGAGATTTCAATACTGTCCCCAGGAAGTCATAAGACCTAAAGGTCAAAGTTGTGGATAGAGTAGGATATCCTATCTTAGCCTTGTCTGTCTTATTCTAAATAACAACAGACCTGGTCTGAGGTGTGGTTATTCCTGACCTTCATGTCCAGGTAATGAGAAGTTGAATTTGAGGTGTGGTTACCGAATCCTTGGAGAATTGAGGAAGAAAAGTCTCTTTGCTCTGTATACTCGATACCACGTTCCCCTTTTGGTTAAGGTATATGAGAGTGGTTAAAAAATAAAATTGTGGTGTTCAGTAAAAAAAGAAAGAAAGAAATATGTCCCAAATGAGTGTAGTGGGACATGCTTTTATCCCAGTACTCGGGAGGCAGAGACAGGCAGATCTCTTTGAGTTCAAGGCCAGCCTGATCTACATAGAGAATTCCACTACAGCCTGGCAACAGTCTCAAAATAATTTTAAATAATAAAATAGAAAAATATATACCTTATTTAACAGGAAGATTCCAAGAGGAGAAAAGCTGGCATTTCTGCCTTCATTTTGTGTCTGTCCCCTTTTCCTTTCAGTTACCTGTTAACCTCTGCACATAGCCATGTTAGTCACTCAAGGAGTGCTTCCATGCATTCACCCCTCTTGAAGGCTAAATGCAGAGAGATGAGTCAGTGTCCAATCCTACAGTCACCGTGGGTTCTAGGAAAAGCAGAGCCTCACAGGAGAAATATCCCCTTAGACAAAGGCAACTCTCTGATAGCACAGCTGCACACTAGTACAGAAATAACCAATTCCAGTGAACCACATTGAGTCTCTCAAGCAATTACAGCAATAAGGACTTCTTCAGACTACTCTGCAGAAACATAGCTGAGGCAATATGGACAACTAGGTCACACTCAGAGGATACCTGCTTATTTATGCACATCTCTTGCTCCTTGCCCCAGTCCTCTTATTTAAAACTAAAGCTCTTCTGGATACCCAAGAGATATAGACTTGGAAATATCTGTTCCTCTTCCCAATATGATCACATTGAATAAATATCTCTCTGCATTTCACTATTACATGTCTAATTAGTATTTCAGGGATGAATAGTCTACCCTGTTGAGAAACCACAGCAATGCCTGCCCTGTTCAGATTCCTCTTGGCTTCTCTGAGCAGCATGGATCCCTTTGGAATGAAGAGAGTTTTATGACTTACTATAGGTAAATGGTAATCTCAGAGTTTCTTCATGACCTGATTCAAGACAGAAAGTCAGGGAAAGACTGGTGCTTCTATGAGCCAATTTGGAAATGAGACATTTTACTTTTCTAGGCATGGTATGGGGTGTAGGGAGAAATCCCACATATCTGTAGTGATAACCACGTGTGGGCACAGGTATGTAGAAAGTGGGATAAAAGAGCCTCTTTCTGTGTCCTTTCTGGTCAGGTCTCAGGGTGTGGCTGAGATTGGACTTCTGGGAGTGCCAATCTGGGTATCGGCTTTTCATGTGAGCTGTTCTCATTTATAAATATATCATCAATAACTATATCCTGTGTACAGTTGTGTTCCTTTACAATGGGGAAGGAAGTATGAGCTATGAACCATGGATGAAATATATTATATGGTGTTCGTGTGTTGAAAAAATACAGTTCTCAACTCAAACAGGAATAGATAGCTTATTAGGAGCCAACTTTGAATCACTATGGCCTTGAAAGGGGGATTTAGGTGCCCTCAAATCCATATTCCAATGTGGAAGTAATTTCATAGTCTTTAAAGTAACATTTTAACAAATGTGTGTAGGCAGATGTTTCTGTCTCGTCTGCCAGCTCCCAAATCATAACATGGAGACTAATTATTAATTATAAAAGCTCAGCTGATAGTTAAGGCTTGTTTCTAACTAGCTCTTATAACTTAAATTAACCCATTTCTATTCATCTTTGTGTTGCCACATGACTCATGGCTTTTACCTTTTTACTTGTATGTCTGTCCCCTCTCATCCGCTGGCAACTCCGCCCTTTTTCCCAGAGTTCTCTCTGTCTGGTCCTCCTGCCTAGCTAATCACCATTTAGCTTTTTATTAAACCAATCAGAAGCTACCTAGGCATCTTTACAGTGTACAAA